GCTAGATGTGTGACATCATTACTTTACTGTCACATTATCATTTACCATGTCCGAAAAATTTTATCTTGATGTTAAGTACGGCAAGGCTCAGTCGATGCCGGCGAACCGTCTTGGAATGTAGTGATCTTGTAAGCCTAAGCTGGAAACCGTCATTACTAATATGGAAGGTTAATGCTGTCAAGATGTTAATCAATGACACTCTGACAGCGCCGTCGTGATGGCAAATTGAAATGATCAAAGTATTATATTTGGATAATATGATAGAAGAATTATTAACTTTTATAAGGGCTGTATCCACCTCATTTCGTTAAGAATATACGATGCATTGCCCGAGTTCGAGACCCGTAGATGTTGATTAGAGGCGAAGTCAGAAATAGTCTATGTTGAAAAGCCAGGATATATTAAATTTAACGGAAATATGGGGCTTATATGATTGTGGAGAAATAGTATCTATAAGCAATCTCTAAAGCATGACTAGATAATTGTCCATTTTGTTTAGTTTGTAGGCTTAAATAATAGATGGAGCTTTAACCATATTAACCTAAGAAAAGTTATATATACATATGGCAAATGGAAAATTCGCATCTTCGGGAGGCTTCCTTATGTCGAGGCTGTGAAACCACCATTACCGTCTGAATTTTTAGTGCCCTGATTTCTTGATTTAGCACTAATTATTGACATCATTCGCTGATATATTTCCACTACTTTGATGTGATATCACCGACTAACAGGATAATGTTTATTGCCAAAAAATAATTTTTAGGGGTGCTGGATACTCTCTTTCGACTGGATAGAAACCTGTGCACACGTGAAGCAGCGTGTCGAGGAAGAGGGCTTCGAGGTGGCTGGATGCAGCACGGCGCCAGCCTCTTATGCGCCCCGAAGGGCACGTTTATCACGAGAGGCTGGATCCTTAGGCCTCTTCAATGGACTAAACATGTGCTTCCCAGTGAGCATCCTATCGTTGACTGAACTTTATCTTTTTATTAAGCCTTGCTATTGTTAAGCATTCTATAGGGGCTATGAATAATGCCTCGTAGAACATTACGCTCTCGTTACTATTTGACGTAGTCACATTTTGCGGTTCTCTTACCACGTTTTTTTTAATATAGGGTAACTTCGTATTTCCAATGCCTTCCAAAGACGAGCTTATTTCTTTGGCTCGTGCGGGCGGCGCATCTGTGTTTAATCGAGATATTTCCAACCCTACTAGCCTGGCGCGCTTGGCAAAGGAATGTCTTACGACGGAATTGAGTGCGCCAGCTGACGGGCCACTTTACGGAGCCAATCTTCTTATCATTTATGACCCTAAATCAAAGCAGCAGACATCAAAAAGCAATGCCATCTCAGGAGCCCCCCCCCGGTGTGATGTGGACATACATGAAGGGCGGCTCACGTCAGAAGTGGAAGAGTTGGCGATTGGCGCGCGAAAGATTCTAGCAGATCAAGGCAGCGAATCCTCTGTTACAAATAGTTGCTCAGATGCAAGCCGAATTGTTTTGCTACCTGCTTCATGGCTGATAGACTGCATCGCTCACTACCGGATTCTCCCGGCTGGTCAGCACAATATTCCGACTTAGACGGATTTCTTGTGCACTAATCAAAACAAATGTCTTGTCCTATACTATTTGGTATGAATTTGCTTCAATCAAGACTTTCTTATTCTTAAGCTTTCGTGAGTAGCTGGCCGGTACGAAATCGGTCTACCAGCTTACATACATAAGTAGTTTCGAGACTACCAGTAATATTTCGTTTAAGGTGACGAAGGACTCGTAGCAGAATTTTCCAACAATAACGTTTTTATTGAATTTCACGCCCTTGCCTTTCCTGTTGTTTTCATTCAAGGTGGGCTGCAGCTTCAATCTCGAATAGGTCATATCAACACCTCATCGGAAATCGAATCGTTACGGGTTAACCACTCAACTACATTGCTCCGACTTCCCTTGGGTCACAGGACAGATGTTAATTTTAAGGAAAACCAGGCCTTTTCCCATATATCACTCTTTGTTGGGACGTAGGTACTTTCTAGCCTAC